CCCCCCGCCGCCCCTCCCGCCGGCACACCCGGCACGGCACGCATGGAGTGGGGGCCGCTGGCGCTGGCCGCAGCAGACGAGAGCATGCGATTGGATGGGTATCGCCGGGGCACAGCGGGGCAGGGCAGCCCCTTTTGGCGGCGTCCGGGGCCTAACTAACAGCGCCAATGAGTCCCGGGAAGTCGGGAGGTATTTGCAGTGCGGGGCGGCCGGCGAAGCCCGGACAAAAGCAAGGACGCACCGCACGACGTATGTCAAACCATTCATGCAAGCTTACCGAGTCGCAGTCCTCGGACGAGTGCGCAGCGCTCCTCCGTCGTCCCCAGCGCCACGAAGAAGACCAGGACGAGGTGGCCGAAGCTGGCCGCAGGGTAGGGGTCCAGGACGAGGACGGCGTCGTGGGGGCCAAGGGCCTTGCCACCCTCGGGGCCGACCAGCGTCGCCATGACGGGCTCCGCCGTGTCGAGGGTGCCCGTGCTGCGGCCCGCCGCGTACACGCGGATCTGGGCCCGGGGCACGCGGACCAGGTCGCGGCACAGGTCGGCGGCGGGGGCGGGGGCCCCGTCAGCGCCCGGGGTGGCGGCGCACGCCGAGTCGAGCAGCCAGTCGTGCGCCCGCGTCGCCCACAGGGACACCCTGGTGGAGGCGTCGGGCTCGTCCTCGGGGAGCACCCGGCAGCGCGCGGCGCTTGCCAGAAGCACCACGACGAAGCACACTGGAAGCAGAGGCAGGGGTTAACTAACCACGGCGACCGTACGGGGTAGTGCCTCCGGCCTGCGCTGACAAACGTCAGATGCACTTAACCGAGGGTCATAACGACAGTTCGTAGCGAACTACCCCAATGAAAATGAATTGAGTGCCCTAGGAGAGTCCTGCGCGTCCTGCGAGTACAACGCGAGTGCGCGGATAGACACCCGGGAAGCATGTTCTTTTGACCCCTGATTTCTGAAGAACATTTGCATCGGGGCGATGCAATTTTCATTTGAACCAATGCGATTTGCATGGCAACAAGACGATGTTCTAAGTTTAGTCGAGCACATTTACTTCACTCAAGAACGCGCTTTTTAGGGTGAGGGTCAGGGCGAATGCGTTGCGAGTGTGACAGGAGTGCGATGCGGGGGCGAGTGCGAGACTCCTCTGCCGCACTCGTACCGCACTCGCGTCGCATTCCCGTCGCACCCTCAACACACTCGCAGGGTACTCCTAAAGCCCTAGATTCACTAGCCCAGGCTAAAAAATAACCATGGGGAAGGCCATGGTAAAATATAAATTATGGCCATGCATGGTAGTCTATGGTTTCTCTTGGTTTAATGTTGATTAACCATAGTATTATGGTCATGGAAATCCATGGTCACCATGAGACACCATGGTTAAAGGTTGGGAAAACTATGGTTGAGAAACCGAAAACCAGAATCCATCGTCAAGTTACCATGATATTATGGCTCCTAGTGAACAAGATAACCATGGTGACCCATGGTTATTTTAGCCTGGGAGATTGTTTTTAAAAGGGGTGAAGCCGTGCGTCTGTTTGTCAGTCCTCGCAGACGGGCCTGGCACAAATCACACCATCGTACACTTACCCCAGGCGGAAGTCTTCATCGTGTCGTTAAAACTCTCCAAAGGCGTGATGCGAAGATATCCTTAATTAAGCTCGGGTTGACGTCAAAGTGTCTTTCGTGGTATCTTGATTCCGGCAAACACAGATTATAAAAACACACACACACAACGGCCACACACACGCGCGCGCACGCACTGGAAAAGCGATTCGTTCACTGCCGGGAGGTGGCTCTGCGGCGGTCCTCGGCTGTCATGTCGGTGTCGGTCGCGCTCTCCGCGTGCAGACTCTCGCCAAGGCTCATCCCCTTCGCACCCTGCGCCGTGCACGTCGCGTCCTCTCCGCTCAGCGCCTGCTCTGTGACTGGCGGCTGCGCTGCGCTGCGGACCTGGCCCGGGCTCCGGGGCCTGGCCAGCAGGCCGTGCACCTCAGGCCCGCCACGCCCCGCCACGCCCCGGCCCCACCGGGCCTCACCACGTCCCCGTCCACGTCCTGCTTCTGTCGGTTGCTCCGGGAGCGGCGCGGGGGAGGAAAGAAGGGGTGGTTTTTGTGGTGGCTCGGGGGGGGG